GGGGGGCATGCCGGTGTGCTTAAGTTAATGAAAACGGCTGCCTAGCGAGTCCCCTGCTACCCGACTGTCAAACCCCGGGGGTTTAGCCTCCATACAGATTGTTCCGGAATTTCAAGGGGGTCTCAAGGAGAAGCCACCACTAAATGACCCCCATCCCAAACAATGATATTCAGCCAATTCATTGCTACTGTATTCAACACCTGATAAAAGCGCCAGTAGAATGACCCAACGGGGGGACGACAGTTGCGCCATACATGGACGTGTGTGTGTGTGCGTGTGTGTGCGCTCGCGTTGGTGCTGAGGGAGGGGGGGTGACAGTGAAGTTGGAGGGTCCCGTTCCAGCTGCATGATCACAGGACTGCATTCCCATTCAAATGTAATTTCTTTCTAAGCTTTTAAGGCCAGCCATTGGATGGATGGATGGATGGATGGGAGGAAGGAAGGAAGGAAGGAAGGAAGGAAGGAAGGAAGGAAGGAAGGAAGGAAGGAAGGAAAGACGATTTGGAAATCAGGATTTGTGAAATGAGGGAAGGAATGCATGAGGAAAGGAAAAAAGGAAAAGGAAGGAAGGAAGGAAGGAAGGAAGGAAGGAAGGAAGGAAGGAAGGAAGGAAGGAAGGAAATGGGACTTGGAAGTAAGGATTTGTGAAAGCAGGGACGCAATGAATCCAGAAAGGAAGAAAAGGAAAATGAGAGGAAGGAAGCGTGGAAGAAAAAAAGAGAGCAAGGAAAGAAAGAATGGAGGAGATGGGAAGGGAAGAACAACAGACTAAAGGAAGGAAGGAAACAAGGCTGGCCTGAAAGGAGAAAGGAAAGTAGGGAGAAAGGATGGACAAGAACAACAAAAACCGTACATGGCCCTCCTCACTCTTTATCAGACCTGGCCGCCATGTTTGACAATTGATTCAAATCCACGCCCTTCGGCAGCTCCATCAAGTTTGGTTGCAGAGAAGGAGGAGCTCTAAGGGGTTGGGGGATGCAAAGGGTTCATGTGTGGGAGGGGGGGCTCTATTAACTGGAGTAACGAGTGCCTGCGTTGCAGCTGCTGCACTGGCTGTCAATCAAACATGCCTGTCAATCATTCTGCGCAGATGCCGTCAAGGAAGTAATGCTTAAATAAATACAGCCATCACCCAGCACAAAAAAAAAAAAAGAAAAAAAAAAAGTTTAAATAATCGTCAATGTTAGGATTGGACAATATCGACAACACGCGATGGGATAGACAGACGTGCTTCCTGGACAGTCTGGATGTCAAAGAAAAAAAAAGAAAAAGAAATTCATGATCAAATGAGGAGTGAGGGGGGATGAAAAGTGGTGGGAGAAAAAAAAAGGGGGGCGGGGGGGCAGAGTGATCCTTCATTGTCCATCTGCTCACACAACGCAAACTTCTGAACTTCAATCACATTTCAGCATCCATTTCGCAATCTGCATTTCCTCCATTTCTATGATGTTTCATTCTCAAACGTTTCTATGATCTGGCTGAAATCTCAAAATCTCTTTTCTCATCATATTCCAGGATCAAACACAAATGTCATTCCTGTCTCAGCATCACGCTTCAGCATTCAACAATCATGTTGCAGCCTCATATGCAAATTTCTCTCAGGTTTTTCTCATGTCAAATGTT